CGGTTTGTTAGCGTTGAGTAAAGCAATAGCAGGAATGAGATGCACCTGTTACCCACCGTGAGGATAGAGGTGCGATTGGGTAATGGGTAAGGGCGGGTGATTTGGGATAGAGGTTGTATCCGTCTCTTCCCTCCCCACCCACCCCCATTTTCCTATATATACAATTTTTCTTCCTCTTTCTCTTTGTCTCTCCATTTCTCCATTTCCCCGCCTTCCACGCCCCGCCCCTTCACCCCATCCCCTCGAGAGAGAAACAACGCGATTACCAGACTTTCCAAGACTCTCTTCCGTGGCACACTGATCGCCATTCGACCGACGCTTTTCTCGTCGTAAACCGTCAAAAAAAGGGAGAAGGTGAAGGAGAAGAAGGAGGAGGAGATGGAGAAGGAGAGGGAGCGAGAGAGAGAGAGAGTGTGTGAGACAGACAAAACACACAGACACACAGACAAAGAAGAGAGAAAGAAAAAAACAAGATATTGAAAGTAACATACAAAACCAAACAAAACCGTGCACACACACAAAAACAAAAAAACAGCCCGAAAACGCACAGACACGCCATCGCCGAGCCTTCGTGCGGTGGATCCGTGGGAAAAATGCTAATGAATGACGTCATTTGGATACAATAAGCGGCGATCCGGGACTTCAAAGCAGGTCCAAATAGCCCAAAGACGTCGGTATTACTGGTCAATTATCCTTTAGGGAAGCCTAAGGGGGAAAAAAAGGCTAGGGCAAGGAGGGAGGGTAAGCGGGGGTAAGCGGGGGGGGGGGGGGGGGTAGCGGGGGGTGAGTGGGGGTAAGCGGGGGGGTGAGTGGGGGTAAGCGGGGGGGTGATGGATGAGTAAGTAGGGGGTAAGCGGGGGGGGGGGGGTGATGGGTGAGTAAGCGGGGGGGTGATGGGTGGGTAAGCGGGGGTAAGCGGTGAAGGAGGGGGGGGGGGGTGATGTGCAGGTAAGTAGAGGAACGTGAAATTACGAGAGAAAATGTCACTAAAACATAATAAAGGAAAATGTAAAAAAAAAAAAAAAAAAACGACAGTGTTTAAAAATGAATTAAAATACGGAAAGGCCAATTCATAAGCAGGCGAAAGCAGGTGAGAAGAGTAAAGCAGACAGGTAGGTAAGCTAGGAGGTAAACATAAGTAGTAGCAGGAGTAGGAGGGAGAGGAAGAGAACGAAGGGGAGAAGGGGCAGGAGGAGTAGCAGGAGAGGGAGGAGGGGGAGAAGGGGGAGTACGAGAAGAAGGAGTAGGAGGGGGGAGGAGGAGGAGGAGGAGGAGGAGGAGGAGGAGGAGGAGTAGGGAGGAGGGAGGAAGGAGTAGGAGGAGGGAGGAGGGAGGAGTAGTAGGAGGAGGGAGGAGGGAGGAAGGAGGAGTAGGGGGAGGAAGGAGGAGTAGGAGGAGGGAGGAAGGAGTAGGAGGAGGAGGAGGAGTAGGAGGGGGGAGGAGTAGGAGGGGGGAGTAGTAGTAGGAGGAGTAGTAGGAGGGGGGAGGAGGAGTAGGAGGGGGAAGGAGGAGAAGGGGAGCAGCAGGGAGCGAAGGGAAGGAGGGAGACCAAGTTCCCTCAGGCATTTCCTGTCGCCGATCGCACTGGCCTCAACCCTTTGACTAGCGCTACACACAAGTCGCCTCGTAACGTCTCCAAAAATCGACTTCGCTCTCATAATTTACCACTGGGACTTCCACATTCTTCCGTTCCTACCTCTCTCTCTCTCTCTCTCTCTCCCCCCCTCTCTCTCTCTCTCTCTCCCTCTCTCTCTCCCTCTCTCTCTCCCTCTCCCTCTCCCTCCCTTTCTACCTCAGATTCTTCCTCTGCCTTATTTTACCAACGCCATTTACACCACCTTGGAAATCAAATCCAAATCCGCCTCTTCTCGCCCACCACTTGAGCGCCACCTTCACCTCGAATTACCAATCAACTCCCCCCCTCTTCCTCCCCCCCGCCCCTCCCCTCCAACAACGCTCTTTCTCTCTTTCTGTCTATCTGTCTCTCTTTGCTTCTCCTCTCTCTCTCTCTCTCTCTCTCTCTCTCTCTCTCTCTCTCTCTCTCTCTCTCTCTCTCTCTCTCTCTCTCTCTCTCTCTCTCTCTCTCTCTCTCGTACCCGCCATTTTTGCAACAGCGGCGTCAGCGGCTATGATTTTGCATAACCACATAAAAAAAGAGTTTCCCCTAATTCCGTTTATGCAAATGGACTCTTGCGACCTTGTGCTAAACTGGATAATCTTCTCGGCAACACTAACGTCATCTACCGACCCCATTAAACACCTGCCACTCTAAGACACAAACGGTGACCCCTGCCTTGACCCCTCTACCCGTCCCCCACCCCCTCCTCTCTTTACACCTCCTCCCCCCTCTCTTTACAACTCCCCCTCTCTCCCCCCCTCTGGAACAATCACCGGCACAACCAGCGTAAGGCCAGCAAAGCGAAATTCTGAGGTATAACTACGATAAAAACAAATATATATAATGCGTAAGGAAACGAAATCATACATTGACAGTTATTTA